GGGTCGGTTGACCCCATAGTGCACCCAATACATCAGAATCCATGATAGCCGCTTGGCGGGGTTCATTTCCTGAATGAAAACCTTCGGTTTATTCAGTGTACGTTTTCTTGCGACTCCTTTTTTTCTTTCAGAGGTGACGACCATGCGAAGGTGTTACAGGATGTGTTAACGGCCTCAAGAGCAGTCAGCACGACACAAAAGTACAAAAGCTGTTTCCATGATTGGCAGTCTTGGTGTGACGCACACGGCATTAAGGCTCTTCCAGCTAACGCAGAAGATATCGCAAGGTTTTTTGTCGACTTATTTAAACGTAATGTACCGTTTTCTAGAATACAAGGAATATTTTACAGCATTAAGTGGTATCATGATTGTAACCCCAAAGTAACAAGGAATCCCTGCGACTCTAAATTCCTTAAGTTAAGTTTGGAAGGTTTTAAGCGTATCACGGCCAAGCCCGTATCCAGGAAGGAGCCCGTCACAGTGGACATGTTGAACAAAATTGTTGTCAAGTTCGGATCATCAGATAATCTAATGCATGTTCGCCTCTGTACCATGTGTTTAATTTCTTTCGCCGGTTTTCTTAGGAACGACGAACTCTCTAATATCAGGGAATGCGACTTGGATATCCACTCTTCCTTTGTCCGAATATTTATTCTTAAGAGCAAGACTGATCAGTATAAAGATGGTTCCTGGGTTTACATTGCGAAGACTGGGACAGTTACATGTCCGGTTTCGATGTTGTTGAAGTACATCGAGTTAGCCAAGATCCATGAATTTTCGGAGCAATTCCTTTTTCGACCTGTTGTGTTTTCCAGATCTACCCAGACTTACAAATTGCGAAGTGGTCATATTTCTTATACTAGATGTAGAGAGATGTTTCGAGATGCGTTGCAAGAAGTCGGCGAAGACCCGGCAAGGTTCGGTCTTCATAGTTTACGCTCAGGAGGAGCCACGGCAGCCGCTTCTATGGGAGTCCCCGACAGGCTGTTCAAGAAGCACGGTCGGTGGAAGACCGACCAGTCTAAGGATGGCTATGTAAAAGAGTCCCTGAAGGATCGACTTACTGTTTCACTTAATCTCGGTTTATAAGTATTTCCATTGTAGGCCTATTCTTACGTATTCCGATTTGTCAACGTGGCCGTTGGTCTCTGGAAAACATGAAGACCCTGAGAACATTGCTACCGTGTGTACAACAGCACTTTATTTGATAGTTCTCTGTGAATAATTAAAGAATTTAATTGGCAGGAAACTTGTTGGAGTCGAAGTTTGTGAATGACTTCCCCGTTCTTTGTCACTTGATAAGGCAGACCTGTAGCTGGAG